ATTATTTGTGGTTTAGTTCAAGTTATTGTTCGTGTTGCCCTAGAAAGCTTCCGCCGCGCACAACAATAACAAAAATATTAGATGACAAAAAATTGCGGACAAAAAAAAATTTAAAGGATGCCGTGCTTAGCACGGGTTGAATACTAGTATATATAATAGCAAAACTTATGTCAACTTAAGTGGACGTCCACTAAGATTCTTAGTCATTGATGATCACTTGATTGAGCTACATTGTGGATGATCCGCTCCGTTGAACTTGATCTACATATTCTAAAACCCTAAGTTAGTGTTGGAAATTTCAACACCAATAGTTAGTGTTGGAAATATTGTGCCAGATCGAATTTTGTTTGCCTTATGTAAACAAGTCATAAAAGATGTCATTTCTGTTTGTTTTTTTAATATTTAAAAAAACGTGTTGGTTTAGAAGCTTTGGTGATATATGTAACTGTAGTGATACTTAAGCTTCATTAATTATTTCATCCAATAAGTTCGCATTGAATGGCACGCTTATGCTCAGACTATTGAACATCAAAAAAACCCCTTTTATAATTTTGTATCATGCTTTATGTCAAGTGCATGTGTTGTTATAATCTCCTCTTATCTTGTTCCGGGATTTGTTTAGAATTAAAAAGTTAATTTCACTCCCTGGCATATACTACCGATGACATAATATATACTATAACTGAAGCATTTTGATGGGCGCGCACATTCAATAGTCAATAGTTACTTGCTAATATACATGTTTAAAAAATTGCAAACTGTGATGAGACAGTGTTCATGTGTATTCATCTTCCCTTGCTGCCGTCTATATCCATGCTTTCCCTTTCATGAATTCGTGTGTAAATTCGTCATTTAAATTGAAAGCCAGGAAGATGAAGCATTTTCTAATTTCATGCGGAGGTACATGCTCGTCGGTGAGAAGATTAGTTTCAGATAATTTGTAAGCAAATTAGATATTAAAAGTTGTAGAATTTTAAGAAAGAATTTTATGCTGTTTTATGGATTCCTATCAAATCCATAAAAAAAAATTAAGACAGTTTATGGATTCATGGAATTTTTTTTTTCATTTCTATGTTTGTTTCATAACATGAAAAAATGGAATCCAACTTTGTGGAAACCCTTCAATTCCTATTTTTTTAGTTTGGTTTGGAATGAGAATATGATTCAGTCTCATAATAATATAGGGTTTATGAAGAAACGAAATTCGAAAAAAAAAGAGGAAGAATAGTTCGGGTGTGTTAACTTTTTGCCCCAAATCCTTCCAAATCATTAGGATTTGGGTTTCTACAAAATCACCATACTTTTTCAACTTTATAGATTTCGAAATCTATATATTTGTTGTGAATCAAACTCAGGAATAAGATTTATAAAGAATCCTTTATTTATAATTTTGCCTCTGTCAGATTCAATTCCTATTCCTATTCCATAAAAAGGATGAAACAAACACCCCCTTAACGTAGCTATACTGACTTATTTCCTCTTTCTACTTAATTATGTGACTTCTTCTAGCAACGCTTTAAAACTAGGGGTGCCAAACCGTATCCGTATCCGAGGAAATATCCATAACCATATCCGTTAGGATACAAATATGGTTACTCAAATCTATTACCGATAGGATATGGTTGCGGATATAGTTTTGTTATGAAATATCCGTATCCGTATCCGAAAATATCCGAATACATATTGGTAATACTCTTACGATAGTTTCGATTCTTAGATTATGGATTTGTGGTTAATTTTGATGATCAAGATGTCTAATCTTAGCTTTTCAATCATAATGAACATATTAACGAACTCTTTTTGTATCACATGACTATATTTTTCTAAATACTATCTAGTTTTCTCATATCCTTTTTGTATTCACATGCATATCCGTTTATATATCCGCATCTATATCCGTAACCGTATCCGATTTTGGCGGATATGGATATGAATTTTTCTTACCGACATATATCCGTATCCGTATCCGTATCCGAGATGAGTAAGCGGATATGGATATGGTAAGTGCCATATCCGAGCCGTATCCGCTCTGTTAACACCCCTACTTAAAACCCTTCATTCCCCCTTTTAGAAAATAAAAATACCTAGTAGCTTGTGAGCTACCGCTCTAACATATGGTAGATGAGGCAATACAAATGATGAGCATCAAAGACAAGCTCACAAAAATAATAGGGAAAAATGCTTCCAGCCCCCAAAAGCCAAGTGAACGTGCTTCCCACCCCCAAGACTTGGTCAATGGGTGTTTTACCCCTAAAAATAAAGATTGTGTTCTCTGAGCCCCAAAACACAAAACCCAAGACATTAAAACATGTGAAGACCATAATACAATTCTCTCTCTTTTTCTTTTTTTATTAAAATATGATGAGGATTATTTTATTATTTTTTTTTCTCTCTCTCTTTATCATGATGTACCAAAAGGATAGTTGAAATGATCGATGAGGATTATTTTATTATTTTCATTGTTTGTATTGGGAGGTTGTTAAAGTTACGGGTTGATTGTTAAGGTTACGGGTTAGTTGTTAAGGTTAAGGGTTTGTTGTTAAGGTTAAGGGTTTGTTGTTAAGGTTAAGGGTTTGTTGTTAAGGTTGTGAATCCTCTCTCTCTCTTTCTTTTTTTATTAAAATATGATGGGGATTATTTTATTATTTTTGTTTTCTCTCTCTCTTTATCATGATGTACCAAGAGGATAGTTGAAATGATTGATGAGGATTATTTTATTATTTTTATTATTTTATTATTTTGGTTGTTTGTATTGGGAGGTTGTTAAAGTTACGGGTTGATTGTTAAGGTTACGGGTTGGTTGTTAAGGTTAAGGGTTTGTTGATAATGTTATGAATCATCTCTCTCTCTCTCTCTCTCTCATGATGTTTCTTTGATGATATGAAATGATTAAAGAGGATTATTATTTTATTATTTTGTTTTTTATTCTTTTTTTATTTTTAGAATATTCGTTGTTAAGGATAATGGTTGGTTGTAAAGGTTATGCATTGATTGTTAAGGTTACGGGTTGGTTGTTAAGGTTGAGAGAGAGGATTCATAACCTTAACAACAAACCCTTAACCTTAACAACCAACCCGTAACCTTAACAATCAACCCGTAACTTTAACAACCTCCCAATACAAACAACCAAAATAATAAAAAACGAAAATAATAAAATAATCCTCATCAATCATTTCAACTATCCTCTTGGTACATCATGATAAAGAGAGAGAGAAAACAAAAATAATAAAATAATCCCCATCATATTTTAATAAAAAAAGAAAGAGAGAGAGAGAGGATTCACAACCTTAACAACAAACCCTTAACCTTAACAACCAACCCGTAACCTTAACAATCAACCCGTAACTTTAACAACCTCCCAATACAAACAACCAAAATAATAAAAAACAAAAATAATAAAATAATCCTCATCAATCATTTCAACTATCCTCTTGGTACATCATGATAAAGAGAGAGAGAAAACAAAAATAATAAAATAATCCCCATCATATTTTAATAAAAAAAGAAAGAGAGAGAGAGAGGATTCATAACCTTAACAACAAACCCTTAACCTTAACAACCAACCCGTAACCTTAACAATCAACCCGTAACTTTAACAGCCTCCCAATACAAACAACCAAAATAATAAAAAACAAAAATAATAAAATAATCCTCATCAATCATTTCAACTATCGTCTTGATACATCATGATAAAGAGAGAGAAAACAAAAATAATAAAATAATCTCCATCATATTTTAATAAAAAAAGAAAGAGAGAGAGAGAATGGTATTATGGTCTTCACATGTTTTAATGTCTTGGGTTTTGTGTTTTGGGGGCTCAGAGAACAGATTCTTTATTTTTAGGGGTAAAACGCCCATTGACCAAGTCTTGGGGGTGGGAAGCATGATCACTTGGCTTTTGGGGGCTGGAAACATTTTTCCCAAAATAATAATAATTACAACTTAACATAGGGATGCAAGTAACCACCAATTCTTCCACCAATTCATACTATCTTCTGCGGCTTCAAGAAATGCTCAAGAGCTGAATCCAAACAGCAGCAAGAAAAATCAAACAGAGATTAACAGGCCTAGACTTATGGAACTAAACCCAAACAGAAATGCGAGTACTATCAGACTTTCCTCACAATACACAGTCAAGCATAGAATTAGAGAGATTAAAACATTTTCATCAAAAGATCTCTCTGATAAAGATCCCATCAATAATAGCTAAAGAAATAAAAAATATCTAAAACATACATACGAAAGTTATATTAGCCACCCTTAAAAAAAAAACAGAAGACTCATCGCGTAAAACTCCTTGCCCTGTAAGTACAAAGTATCAGATGGACTGGGTCTAGCGAAGTGCAAAAACAAGAAAAATTTAGGGATCCAGTATGCTGATCAAAGATTCTCCTCTCTTTGGTCGACCACAAAGAGAGTGGACCCGGTCCAATTTGAAAGTTTCTCCCTCCTGCTTCTGAGAATTAAGCTGAACAGCAACCAGTTTTCTTGACAGCAGATACATCAGCATTGGCAGTTTGGCACTGATATTACCCATAAGAGATGGCGAACATTATCGAACAGCTGTAAGCTTAGAGCACAGTGAGCTTTCAGGCTCAATAAAGAACCACCTGTGACTGTGAGTCAGTAGATCCCTTTACTTTCCAAAGAAAATTCTATTCACGACATCCACAGGTAATGCATAAGCAGGATCAATAGATTTCAATCCCGGATATTCCATAAGTGAAAGTCCTGCAAAAAAGGAAAACGTCAGAAGGAGTCAGACATCTACTACATTAACATACACTGCAAATGTGAACTCTTTTGTAAAGCAAAGCGCCAAGGCGCAAGCTTCAAGGCTTGAGACATAGGTCTCATAAAATAATTGCAATTAAAATTTAATTGTAATTAAAATTTAAAACTTTATAAGTGTATACTATATAGTGATTAATAATTTGCAAAATAGATGCATACAGGTTTTTGACAGTGAGAATGCAAACGACTAACTATAGACACGTTATAATAAACTAAGATACAACCGCAACCATACCTTTTTTCCCCTGTTGAACACAATGAATCAATGATGATTTAAAACCAAGTAATTGCCCTAAGCATACATTGTTATTAATTGAAGGTAACTCATTTTCAATACTGATTAAAAAGCTATGGTTCTGTAAAAGTGGCTTCTCAAACAATGTTAGACAAAGTAAAAAAGAAAAAGAAATAATAAGGCAAAGTAGAAAATAGAAAGCAGATAAAACAATAAGAGGGCAAAAGGTAACTCATTTTCAATACTGAATAAAAAGCTACGATTATGTAAAAGTGGCTTCTCAAACAATGTTAGACAAGTCAAAAAGAAAAATAAATAATAAGGCAAAGTAGAAAATAGAAAGCAGATAAAGTAATAAGAGGGCAACAAAAGGAATGAAAAGAAAGATTTAGAAAATAGATAAGAAGAGACAAGAAAAGGGAGGACCCATGGCAAAGAAGAGGAAGAAAATAAAACTGATGACGTATAGGCTAATCGTGAAGTAGGAAAATGACAAAAGAGAACCATAAAAACTAAACAAAAACATCAGGATGTTCTTAGTTAGGAATGATTCAATTATCAGTGTAGCGGTTGGCAAGTACAGTGATTGGCAAGACAGGAAAGTGAATGGCTGTGAGAAGGCCGAATATTTTTAGTTTCCTATATTACCTTTTTAATAGAAAGATAAAACAAATATTAGGAGCACTCAAGCAAAGCTCTTAACCAAATTATGTTTTTTCTGAGCTTAATACGCCATGAATATAAATTACCAATTTGGGGCGCGTATTCAGGACTTAAAATTTGAATCTAGAAATTAAAATAATAAAGAAAAAACATTCTCCTTTGATATGAAAAATAAATTTACACAACCGAGAAGATTCACACCTGCTACACCAAAGTAGGTGTGGAAGACATCTACAGCGTCATCGGCCCTATCTGAAATACCTCCATTCTCTTTATCCTGCACATTTCAATAAAAAAGACAACAAATAAAGCCCAGTGTTTTAGATGAAAAACTATGCTTCCATATTACAGAAATGGGTGGGTTAACCTAGAACACGCACCTGGCAGTTTAAGATGAATCTTGTAAGTTTGTCCTTGTCAATCCAATGCACTCGATCAATCATAATTAGGCTTGAAAGTACCCACCACGAATAACAGACCTACAAGGATTGATTTGCCTACTTAATACACCTCCAAGTCTACATTCATAGATCAGTCATAGTTTGGTATTATACATCTACAAGTTTCTCGGGACGCCCATTTAGTCCTCCATCATTTGGTCCTCCATCATTACATTGACGCTCACATAGCCACCAACCAAGAAGGTCTCTATCTACATGGTGTAGTGATCCTGTTATAGCAAGGGCACCTACACAACAGAATACTGCAGTTGTTGCTTTCAGTTAAAAGACATGGAACATAGTTTGAGCAAAATAGTTGATGACAAAAGCTAAGGAAACTAATAGTATTATAATATTATATTCATAACAATAACTTAGATTTGTTAAGTATGCGAACCATAAATTCCTTTATGCATACACCTCAAAGTTCTTTCAATTACATATAACACAAGTAACAGTCGCAGAGATTGGAATTCTAGGAGAATTCACACAAGGATCAAACTGAACTATAAATTTTTCAAAAGAAAAACACACCAAATTCACCAAATGCGCAGCAAGAACCCAGGGTGAGACACCTTTGAATTGAAACTGAACAATAAAATAAATCCTATTTCTACATTGCTGCACATCTGATAGGAGCAAAGAGTGGCGTAAGTAGAAGTGACGATGAATAGAAACTTAGATTACAAGCTATTAAGGCAAGAACCTTTCCCAATTATAAGTGGACTTGTAACTTCATGACTACTTTGAATAAGAAATATCCAGTAATCATCATTTGAGTTAAGAGTTAAAAGTTGGTAACAGGCAAGCATGAACGTCAAATATCAGAATATATATTAACTGTCTTGTTCACCGCGAAAGAGCATACTTTGTCCAGCATGAGACTCTCCTCCAGGTGTACATCCAAATCCGCCATCTAAATTTTTGCAGCTCACAATATAATTCACAGCCTTTTCCACATTTATCTTATTCAGACGATGTAATATCGAGAGGCAACAAATTGCACAGTAAGAGAACCTACAAATAAAGAAGTGAGTTTAAACCCTTTGACCATAGAAATCTACAACAGGCCCTGATCTAAATTAGCAGCAATTAGGATAGGAACAGAGAATATACCTTGTGTCAATTTCGCCCCACATATCCCCAGAGAAAGATCCATCTTCATTTTGCAGACCAGCAATGTCTAGTTTACAAATTAAGAATAGCAAAAGTAAACCTAAAATGAGTCTTGACTCAGTGAAGGAGTTGCATAGGTTACGCACGATCCCAGGTTGAAGACCCTTTCTCCTAGTTACACATTTGATTGTAGATTTACAATAAGAAATCTCTGAAAGAACATACCAAAACGTAGAAGATACATATTCTTCTAGACACTTTGAAAACAGCGACGTCTTCATTTATGTCTATCTAAACTTCAATTTTCAGATATTTTAGATTCTCCCTTAACAGAAAATTATTGAGTTTTGGAAACATACATCTGATAATACGTCATCACAACTGATATAACTGAGAAAACAATCCTCCAGATATTATGTCTGCCTAAATTTCATTTTCATTTCAAAGATCCATATACTTTAAATTCTTTACAATTGATAAAAATTAGCCATGCATCATGAAAACTACAATGAGTAAACTAGCAAATGAGGAGAAAATGATTGAAACATAGCGCTACAAGGTGTTGTCTACATGAGTGATTATTAATTATTATAAGTAGAAATAGGTAAAAATGACAGTCTTCTCAAATTTTACACGAGATCTGAGATAAATTTCTTATATAATGGTTCAAATTTACACATGTTTTCATTTATATGATACAAAGAATTCTGATACTTCAATCACCTCTACCTCTTGCAAAGGTACCATAAAAAGCATGATAATTGCAAGCTAAATGGATTTTTATCTCTTGACAATTTAAAAAATTATAACGATATAACCATAAATACACACACATTACACAAAAACTTGTCGAATTCGGTTAAAACTTTCTAAATATATATACAGACCAATCAAATTCCAATTGAACATCTTTTTAAACCATTAAAAAAATTAAAAATGGGGCTACGTTTTAAATCATACCCTTTTCACAGGACGCCTAAAACTATTTGGCAAACAACAAAAAAATTCGGAAAAGCATAACTCTTCTCGATACTCAATAAGATCCTAGCTAAAAAATTCCTAAACTATGGACAAAGTCTAAACTCTAAGGAGATGCATGTAGATCGAAATCTAAGCCCTTCGTTTTTTTTTTATTTCAATCACACAGTCAAATCATAGTGCAATATCTGTCATCATTGTATGAGGGAATACACTTATGCTAATTCAAATTCAACCATGATTAAGATGATATCGAAATCTACCAAACAAGGATACAATTTGAAACCATTTCAGCATCCAAAACATTGATCCGGTCGAAAAGAGCTAAAATCTGCACAGCACTAAGCGTGTTCAAAATGTGTGGATCATGCCCAATATTCCCACCAAAACCACCTGTCAAAAAATTACCCATATCAAAATCCTCAGTGAAAAACACTCATTGATCTCTCCAGTAACTTAAAAATGAAAATTTAAAAACTGGGTTTGCATCAACTTACCACAATCGTCATGATAACACTTCATCACCCATGAGATCACCTCATCAGGATCAACAGCTGAGATCTTGTGAAGAATATCCAGAGTTGTTAAACCCCAATAAGCTCCATTTATTCTTAGGTGCTCCATTAATAGAGCATCGAAATCATCTTTTTTCTGCTTGAATTAACAAAATATTAAAAAAAAGTTAAATTTATTCGTAGCCCAAAAAATTTAAAAAGAGGGAAATTGAGGAAAACGAATGAAGCGAACCTTTTCGATTGAGAGGATGTATTCCACGTGCTTATCGGATTCCAACTCGCCCATAACTTAGATCAATTCAACAGAAGAAAGAGATCAATTTTCGTTTTTAATATTTTTGGATTTTTATCTGGTGAAGAAAGAGAACTGCAAAAGGAGAACGGTGAACTCAGGGGCTCCATAAACGGGTCGCATCGTGTCGGATCGGATCGGGCAAAATGTCCAGATTGGTTTTGATTTAGAATAAGTTGGGAAAAATTGCAAAATAGACCTATTTTGCTAAATATTTAGCAAAACAGACCGTTTTGCTAAACATTTAGCAAAATAGACATTTTTTTGACCCGTTGGTAAAAAAGAGATCGATTTTGCTAAACAAATCATTTGAAACATACGGGACTAGTAGTCCCGTATGTTTCGAATGGTCTATTTTGCAAAATCGACCTTTTTTGGCCTGTTAGAAAAAAAGATGTCTATTTTGCTAAATATTTTGCAAAACGGTATATTTTACAAATTTCTTCTAAGAAGTTTCATGTGTTTATTAGTTGTCACAAGACAATGTTCTACTTTCAGGGTTGTTTGGTATATGTTGCAACTGTCAGGGGTTGTTTGGATGCCTTTAGGAAACTAGAGTATTTATGACACAAAATAGAAAGTGGTTATCCATCTCACAACTTTCCATTCGAGTGTTTGCATTATTTGATTAGGAATCTTTGTGAATCCTAAAATAATAGTATTACATTGTTTGTATAGTATAATATAAACTAGAGTATTTATGACACAAAATGGAAAGTGATTATCCACCTCACCACTTTCTACAAGGTTTTGAACTAGAGTATTTATGACACAAAATGGAAAGTGATTATCCACCTCACCACTTTCTACAAGGTTTTGACTTTTTTATTATTTTTTTGGACACATTTGGAAAGTGATTATCCACCTCACCACTTTCTACAAGGTTTTGACTTTTTTATTATTTTTTTGGACACATTTATGATATTGTGTCAGCTTTCCAACAAAATCACTCCTAATTTTAGTGATTTTGCTTTCGGTGACACATCATCAAAAGGTGTAAGCTTTACATGTAAAAGAGAATTTAAACAAACAATGTAAAATGATGAAAGCTGACATTGGGACTCACTTTTTTTTACTTTCCATCTTTTTACATGGTAAAAACATACAAACAAACAGCCCCTCAATGCAGCAAATATCACGTATAAAAAATATTATGTGCAACATTTGCTTCGAGAAATTAATCTCAAATTTCTTATTTGGATATCTGCATTTAATTATAGAAAATATATTTCCAAATTCAAGTTTGAGTCTCTAGTCTGACGCGAGAGATCTGTTTTTCACTGCACATCAAGTGTTTTTTTTAATTCAAAATTGTAAGGAGATCTAAATTTTCTGATCTGATTTAACTAACTTGGTATGTGCCTTTAAGAAAAGAACTTGCAACATTTGTCGCGATCAAGTTGGCTATAACAAATATTGCAACTACAAATTGCAAGTCCAATTATATTTTCTTGTAAGCAACTTGTTGCTTACATCGTTATGTGCAGACAAGTCAGAAACAGCAAAAGTTAGATCTTTGGATTTTTAAAAAAAAAGTTAAATACGCTAAATTAAGGTAAAAAATAATTTTAATGCTTTGATCACCCCAAGACATAAATTTGGATATTTCTACGTGTATTATTTACATTTGTATTTATATTCGGTGAAAGATAAGTACTTCATTTAAAATTTTGTTTCTTATGCTATATGTAAAGAAATATAAATATTCATTTTTTTTTTAAATAAATTTGTGGGGGGTATCAAGCACTAACTCCCAATGATTCATTAAGAACGTGATTGGTTTATTTTTCAGAAAATATTAAAATTTGGATTTTGGGAAAGAAACTCAACTATGGGTGAGACCCATTTGTCTTGTTTAGAATTGTTTTTGCGAAATTGTGTTTGAATCTATTCAATGTCAGTTTCGGATCAAAAATAGACCGACCTGAACCTAAGCTCGTGTGGATGCCACCCACACGAGGTGTCGTAGACTTCCACGATCATCCTTGTTTCTAGAAGCCAAATGAGAAACGAAGCAAACTTTGCGAAAGGGAAATGAAATAAATGATGAGGATGAGGACACATCATTGTCCGTGCCGTTTTGGACTATTGAGCCATATCTCTTCCAACTACCCTTCTCGTCTTCTCTCGTTAGTGATGTCGACCCATATCCAACCACATTACATGATTCCTATATTATCTTAGGGGCTGGCCATCCCATCCCTTTAGCATTTCACACCCAAGTGAATAATAAAGTACCCTAATGACTTCTCATTATGGGTGCTAAACCGTATCCGTATCCGAAGAAATATTCGTAACCGTATCCGTTAGGATACGGATATGGTTACTCAAATCTATAACCGATAGGATATGGTGACAGATATGGTTTTATAGTGAAATATATGTATCCGTATCCGAAATATCCGAATACATATTAGTCATACTCTTACGATAGTTTCGATTCTTAGATTATGGATTTGTGGTTAATTTTGATGATCAATATGTCTAATCTTAACTTTTCAGATATAATGGACATATAAACAAACTCTTTTGTATCACATGAACTATGTTTTTCTCAATACTATCTATCTTTCTCATATTTGTTTTATATCTGCATACATATCCGCTTATACATCCGCATGTATATCCGTAACCATATCCGATTTTAGCGGATATGGATATGAATTTTCCTTACCGATGTATATCCGTATCCGTAACCGTATCCGAGATGAGTAAGCGGATATGGATATGGTAGGCATCATATCCGAGCCGTATCCGGACCGAATGCACCCCTACTTCTCATAAGTGTCAAAGCATTCCCTTTGAGTTTATCAGTTGATGGCATTTTTATTGATTTTTTTAAGGGTTAGAGATACTTTTCATATATATATAAGGGTATTTTAGGAATTCTAAAAATTTGGCTTACTATGATCAAAACCGGAGCTTCTCTTAATATATAGTATAGATACGTAAACTACTTTTAAACTAGGCAATTGTTGCAATCAACCACATCTCGGTCAAAATTTACGGTGAAATCTCAAAAACATCCTTAAACGACTCATATTCAAAACACATGACTCATTTTAGTGTTTAGATCTTGTTAAGATATAACTCACGTATCTTGAACTAGAATTTTTTAACTTTATTTTTGGTTTTTGAGTGAGGATATCAGTAAGATGTAGTTAATTGTAATAAACATTACTTTAAAAATGGTTAATATTTAAAATAAAATTGAAAGGTGATCCTATTTTTAAGATGAATTCTAGAAGAGGGGAAAAAACTGTATTTCTAATTTTTAAATTACTGTAGGTGGGCCACCAATAAAATATTCTATAAAGGGGTTGTTATCCGCAAACATTTGCCGCCCAACTTCAGCGAATCATTCGTCGTTATTTCGAAGTCGTTGACCCTGACCTCCCCCTTTTCTTCTTCTTCTTCCTCCTCCTCCTCCTACCTTCAACCTCTCTCAATCAAAACCCTAACCCTAATTCCCCCCCTAAAACAATGGATGCAGTACACCGCCGGACCAAGATAATCTCCCGCCACCTCCATCCTTCATCATCCTCCACCGATTTACCCCTCAACCCCTCTCCTTGCCTCAGCTACTCTCCACCCTCCGATCAAATCCAATTCAGCACCCAATCCCTCCGCCAAATAATGGACGGCCACGATCTCGACGCCAGAGATTGGGCCTTTAGCTTGATAGAGAGCAGCAGCCTCTTCTGCCCTCGGCGGCGAGGGGATAGGGTTTTTGTGGGGCCTGATTACAACCAGACGAAGGAGCAGCAGAGGGAGATGACGATGAAGCGGATCGAGTTTTTGGAGAAAAATGGAGCTTTTGAGGGGTGGTTGACGTCGGAGGGGGAGGCGGCGGAGATGAGGAAGATGGCGTTGAATCAGGTGTTTGGATCTTATGATCACTCGCTCGCCATCAAGATCGGGGTCCACTTCTTTCTCTGGTGAGAATTTTATTTATTTGCGAAAGGTGCCATTTTCATCATGTTCTTTGCTTTCCCAAGTTTCAATTTTGCTACATTTGGATTTTGGGAAAAATGCTTCCAGCCCCCAAAACGAATGAAAACAAGCTTCCCACCCCCAAGACTTTTTCAACGGGTGCTTTGCCCCCAAAAGTAAATTTTTTGTTCTCTGAGCCCCCAAACACAAAGCCCAATGAATTTCACACAGGGAAAGACTATAATACCCATTCTCTCTCTCTAACCCTGCAATCTCCCTCTGCTCTCCCTCCTCCCTCCCCCACCTCTCCACCCGCCGCCGCCGCCCTCCGGGTGCTTTGCCCCCAAAAGTAAATTTTTTGTTCTCTGAGCCCCCAAACACAAAGCCCAATGAATTTCACACAGGGAAAGACTATAATACCCATTCTCTCTCTCTAACCCTGCAATCCCTCTGCTCTCCCTCCTCCCTCCCCCACCTCTCCACCCGCCGCCGCCGCCCTCCTCCTGCCATCCTCACCTTCTCTGCCATCGTCGCTCCGGCCATCCACAGCATCCTTAAGATCCACAACGCGGAGAAAACCTCGGCGCGGTTCGAGGAGTACAAAGAGATAGTCCGCTCGAGGGCCGAGCGAAACTCCGGCGACGAGCGCTGCATAGCCGACGGGAACAAGCGACTGAGGTTTTACTGCTTCATGATTCTCTGCGAGCTGGGTTTCATGGGAGCGTGGGAGCGGGCAGGAGGACCTGTTCATGGGAGCGTGGGAGCGTGGGAGGACCTGTTCATGGGAGCGTGGGAGCGTGGGAGGACCTGTTCATGGGAGCGTGGGAGCGTGGGAGGACCTGTTCATGGGAGCGTGGGAGCGTGGGAGGACCTGTTCATGGGAGCGTGGGAGCGTGGGAGGACCTGTTCATGGGAGCGTGGGAGCGTGGGAGGACCTGTTCATGGGAGCGTGGGAGCGTGGGAGGACCTGTTCATGGGAGCGTGGGAGCGTGCGGGAGGACTCGCCCAACCTAAGAACAATAATAAGAAGAAGAAGGACAAGATTGATAGTAATTACAACCATGCCCCCTAACCTTGGCTGCTCCTGCTTTGGATGGTACAAGAGCTTCTGGGCTCGTTGGGATGCCTCACCCAACCGCCATGTCATCCACCTCATCCTCGATGCCTTTGAAGAGACCCTTGAATCGAAGGAGGCCAACAGCAAGTAGAAGAGGGGGTTGAAGAGTAAAAAGATTGATTTTGATGAGGTTTTGGCGAAAGAGATGAGCGCCCATGAGGAGAAAGTTGATGATGATGGCCATGATGATGGGTACGGGCATGTTACTAATTACCAACGCTAAAACTATTACCACCAAAAAACTTTAAAATAACCCAAATAAAAATATACCGGTTGCTTGTTAAAATTACTCCCCCATTAGAATGTCCTACATTGGTTGTTAAGGTTATATGTTGGTTGTTAATGTTACGCGTTTGTTGTTAAGGTTACGTATTGGTTGTTAATGTTATACAGGTTGCTTGTTAAGGTTACGGGTTGGTTGTTAAGAATATGCGTTGGTTGTTAAGGTTACAGGCTTGTTAAGGTTACGGATTGGTGTTAACGTTATACGGGTTGATTGTTAAGGTTACGGGTTGCTTGTTTAACAATCAACTCGTAACCTTAACAAGCAAACCATATAACATTAACAACCAACCCGTAATCTTAACAACCAACCCGTAACCTTAACAACCAACCAGTAACATTAACAACAAACGCGTAACCTTAACAAGCAACTCGTAACCTTAACAAGCAACACGTATAACCTTAACAACCAACCCGTAACATTAACAACAAACACGTAACCTTCATATTAACGGATCTTGAGGATCTCTCTGTCGGATTGTTAGGCTCTGAAAAACACGCTAATTGAAGAAAAATGTAAACTTGGACCTAACAAACAAGGTGAAATCTCGACATCACAATAACAGCAGAACAAGGACCAGTGAAGCAAACAAAATGCACCAAAACATCAAATCCAAGCTCGACGGGGGAAAAACGTGTTGATTCCGACAGAGAGATCTTGAGTGTTCTGTATATTTAGAGTAACTTTTAGACGATATAGGAAGTCTAGATGCACTATTTTTATGCATGTTGGCCCGCCCATCCATGTTAACGTCTTTAATAGGTAACCAAAATAAATTTATATATTTTTCAAGAACACTCGCTTTTTTTAATAACTCTTAATATGTCAACATCTTTTAATTAATATGCATGGCACTATTCACAACATTTCTCAAGCTTCAAGCTACGTTCAGGAGTTTACATATTTCTTCAATTAGCGTGTTTTTCAGAGCCTAACAATCCGACAGAGAGATCCTCAAGATCCGTTAATATGAAGGTTACGTGTTTGTTGTTAATGTTACGGGTTGGTTGTTAAGGTTATACGTGTTGCTTGTTAAGGTTACGAGTTGCTTGTTAAGGTTACGCGTTTGTTGTTAATGTTACTGGTTGGTTGTTAAGGTTACGGGTTGGTTGTTAAGATTACGGGTTGGTTGTTAATGTTATATGGTTTGCTTGTTGAGAAGGTGAGGATGGCAGGAGGAGGGCGGCGGCGGCGGGTGGAGAGGTGGGGGAGGGAGGAGGGAGAGCAGAGGGATTGCAGGGTTAGAGAGAGAGAGAATGGGTATTATAGTCTTTCCCTGTGTGAAATTCATTGGGCTTTGTGTTTGGGGGCTCAGAGAACAAAAAATTTACTTTTGGGGGCAAAGCACCCGTTGAAAAAGTCTTGGGGGTGGGAAGCTTGTTTTCATTCGTTTTGGGGGCTGGAAGCATTTTTCCCTTGGATTTTAATTGTGGAGCTTGTTATTTGTTGGAGAAGGTGAGGATGGCAGGAGGAGGGCGGCGGCGGCGGGTGGAGAGGTGGGGGAGGGAGGAGGGAGAGCAGAGGGATTGCAGGGTTAGAGAGAGAGAGAATGGGTATTATAGTCTTTCCCTGTGTGAAATTCATTGGGCTTTGTGTTTGGGGGCTCAGAGAACAAAAAATTTACTTTTGGGGGCAAAGCACCCGTTGAAAAAGTCTTGGGGGTGGGAAGCTTGTTTTCATTCGTTTTGGGGGCTGGAAGCATTTTTCCCTTGGATTTTAATTGTGGAGCTTGTTATTTGTTAGCATGTTTATCTTGGGATCTACTTAATCTCACGTTGGTTAATCTGGAATAATTGTGGGCTTATAAGAGACTTGGTTCTTTCCCTGTTAGCTTTTAGGGGTGAGTTCTCAAAAGTTGCAAGTGAGAACATTGTAAAGGACTAGTCTATAATGTAAAGCCAAAAGGGCGACATCAAGATTGCAATGCTCGACAGGGGAAATACTAGTGCAAAGCTACCCATTGTGGAGCCAGGATTGCAAAAGCGTGATTATATGTTAGGATTTGTTTAGTACACACTGACTAAATGAAGCGTCAATTATGGGTTGATAAGAAATTTGAGTTTCCTGCTCTAATATTTAGTTTTCATGGGGAATCCTCTGAGGTCTCATACAGTTTTCCCTCATAAAGTTTGGGTTTTTGCTATATTTGGATTATCCAACCATAGAGTGAACAAATTTTTAGCATGTTTTCCCTGTCTCATGTTTCATTATTTGCTATAATAAATTGCGAGATTTGCAATTGTTTCAGTTTCTGATGCGATTGGGATTATATTAGCGCATTTCCCTCATAAAGTTTTTGATTGTTTGCTCATGTGGGATTTTTCTGACAATAGATGTACAATGTTTATGTCTTCTTTTTCCAAGGTTGCAATTTTGGTATATTTAGAGTTAAACTGCGACATTTGCAATTGTTAGCATGTGTTTTTTAGTGGATTGTTAGCAAGGTTAAGCTTCTGTAACTATACTATTTGCATGAAGTTTCATCTCAACCTATGTAATGCTTGGGGATTCACTTCTTTGTTTAGGGAGATTCTGAGCCCCAGTTTAAAGACCCTGAATTTGCAGTACTTAGAGTTGTATGCTTGTCCTTAATTGGGTAATGTGACTAAATTTGGACCTATTCAAACTAATAATTGAAGAAGTGAAAGTTCTTTTTAAATTTTGACTTTTTTTGGGGATGAAATGTTAACTTTCCATTACCAAGTAAAAAGATGAAATACAAACTCAGTCTGTGACACAAATAAATGACAGGAACATCACCTATCATGGACACAGAAGGGAAACTTTAAAAAACCTATACACTTGCAGCTTAACAAGAAAAACCTCCCAGTATCTATGACTTCAGAACTGGTTTTAAATTTTGATTTGTTTCCTTGGTGAGACGTGACTTGAAAAAGTTCCTTCTTTGTTGCATGCTTTCTGACGGGGATCAAGAAATGAGTGCATTTGTAGGAGATCCAAGCTTGCTTCTATTGACGAATAACGAGAGATAATTGGTTGAGATGGTTTGGTGATGTATATGGAGACCTCTTAGCATGCTGGTTAGGGATGTGATAATATTATAGTTGATGGGGCAAAGAGATGCAGGGGTAGACCATAAAGATATTAGTTGAAGCACTTAAGAAGGATGTGATAATAATTAACATAACAGAGGAGATGACCCAAAATAGAACTAAATGGAAAAATGCGATCCATGTAGCTGAGCCCAAAAATTTTGGGGATAAATGCTTTGTTGTTGCTGCTGTCCGTGTTTTGTTAGTTCAGCTTAAGCAGTAAAGTAGATCCAGGCATCTACAGTGATCTGATTTTCTGAAGTTGCATGCAACAGATCCTCACATTTCCCTTAATGCTAATTAACCTGCTGGATTCAGAAGTAGCATTAATTTACTTCTTGTGTTTGTCATGTGCATGTTCAGTTGCTAAATTTTTTATTCTGTAAGTTCAGTTAGATCCCTCCTTTAAAAATTTGACTGGCACCTATTTTTCAACAACCAAGTTGCTTCATCACGCTTAGTTAAATCATTCAAAACCTCAGTTGTTTAAAATTCTGATCACCATTTCCCTTCTTCAAAACTTATGCTACCTTCTCCCATCCACTTCTTAGCCTAACTGCAAAATAGTTCTTCCTATCCAATATTACATTCCCTCATTAGCAGCAATTGCTAGGTATAAAAAAGTTTTCCCACTGTGTCTCTAAACAATATCTGGCTCAGATATGCACTGAACTTCTACCGGACGTGTTGAGTTTGATGCATACCTATGGACCCTTATCAAGATTTGCTTATATCTCTAAAATAAATTAAGCAAATTTGCAAAAGACTATTGGGATCCTTAAATCTTTTTCCATTTTAAGCGATTGTATTAGTTCGCTATCTAAATCACAAATGATTAGACCAAATTTATGTTAAACCCATCAATTTAGTCATACCTACAAGAAATGCATTCCATCACCCTTCTGTTTGACTGCCTCCATACATTCTTCTAAAAGCCTACTGGTGCTTCCCTATCTTCTTTAACAAAAAACATCTAACCCTAACCATAATTTCTCCTTTGGAAATGGGAAGATCTTGCCGGACCCTGATAATCATCCGCCACCTTCTCACTCATTAAACCCCCAGTGACCACTTAGTCCCCTACCTTGTCTCCACTACTCTCCCCCATCCGATAAAGGTCTCTTCAGCATTCATGATTTGTGTTTTATAATGAATGCTCATAATCTGGAAGCCCGAGATTGGGCCTTTGGATTGATGGAAGAGAGCAACTTCTTCTGTCCACGTCAGCAAGGGGGGGAAAGTCTTGTCGGGGTGGATTAAAATGTGACAAAGGAGCATCAGAGTGTAATTACCATGAAGAGGATCAAATATTTAGCGAGTAATGGCTTTTTTGAGGGCTGGTTGACAGGAGAGGAAGAGGAGATGAAGCTGAGGAGGACTTCTCTATATGAGGTGTTGGGAATTTATGATTACTCACTTCAAGTAAACCTTTCTGTTCAGTGTTCTCTTTGGTGAGATTTTGATCCCATTTATGTGAATTTTGTATGTGAAGTTTTGCAGGAAAAGGTATGATATACCTTTTTTTGTTTGGTTTTTTCCACTTTCAAAATCTAATCTTGCATCTTCTACCTTCTGTAACCATGTTGTTCCTTGATATATTAATTTTTTCGAGTAAGCCATGAGTCATTTTCAGTTTTAGCATTTTGAGGGAAATATATTGATATAGATATCCTAAAGTTATAATGTGAATATGTGAATTTTATTTTTCTCTTTATGTTCAATCACATACATAGACCTAGATTGGGTTCTGTTGTAAACTATAATGATGCTAAAGTTGCAAGTTCACCAAATTGATACCATAATCAAAGTGGTAAATTTTATTTTACCTCTTTTTTGTGAGATTTGCAACTGCAAGTGTTCTGTGTTCCTATGTTGTATTTTTGCCTGTACCAAATTTACTATTTTGAGTGGATTAAGTTGGGTTTTTTATTAAAAGTTAAGGATATTTCTCCTGCTGCATGATCTCGAAGGCCTCAAGGTGAGCATTGTACGAAATTTGGTTCAAGGGATATTTCTTCTTCAGACCTGCTTAAAATTTGAGAATACCTTTAGTAATTTTAAACTGTAAATATTATCTGTTTTAAGGTGATATAATCTGGTTCTGGTTGATTTCTTTGGTGGAGTTTGTTATATGCTGCTTCCTTCTGCAATCCAAGATCTTTAGGAATTTGATCAGATGAAACTGAGATCGCAAGCGTTTTAAGAAACCAGATTCTTATTGATGTGCTTGCCCAAAATTGTTTTTTTCTTTCTAGTGTAATGCATCAGTTTAGACTTTAGAGGGTGTCCATTCTCATCAATAAAGTAATAAAGTACCGGAGTCATGTGAACACCCTCCCAAGAGTTATAAGAGTAATGTCTGAGGACTCTATAGTGGTTGATTTCTCCATATAAAATTTGTGTCTTAGATGAGAGTTCATCCTGGGGAGATCAACAATACAGGAACACACATTATTTTTGGTCAATTTTACCAGATAAAATGTTGGAGTAAATGGGTTTATGCTATTTCTAGGTATTCACCATGCATGATTTGTTCTCTGTTAGAACTAATAAATTTTCTCTCTGAAAAAGTTATTACAGGCACCACAAAAAGGGAATTAAATGTGCTTATTCAATATCTAACGTACTTATGCTGTCTGAATATGGATACATGTTCTTTCCTTTTTGAATAATGTGATATGGAGTACGTTTTGTTCTTTTAGCTCAAGGATAGTCGTGTAGAATAGTTCACATTGTAATAGTAGACTGCTGTTATACTTGATAATTTTTGTACAAGATAACAATTTGATTTCCTTACCTTTTAAGGAAATTAAAGAATACCATTGCACTTGACAAAGTGTTAATTATTTCATTTGAATCTGACGTTCCTTTAATAATAATACCTCTTGTTTCTTGCCACGTTAATGCTTAAGACAGCTGTTATCTGCTTGTGCTTAATTTTCTTCTAAATTACAGGGGTGGTGCAATTCAATTTTTTGGCACTAAGCGACATCATGATAAGTGGCTGAAAGACACAGAAAAATATGTAGTCAAGGGTTGCTTTGCAATGACGGAATTGGGGCATGGCAGCAATGTATGCAAAGTTTATTAAATCATATTCAAAATGTGTTAAATCCCTTGAGTAATTACTGTATTGTCGAACAATGTACTTTCTTCCTATTTCAAGGTGCGAGGAATTGAGACAAGTGCCACATATGACAAAGAGGCCGGAGAGTTTGTCATTAACACTCCTTGTGAGTCAGCTCAAAAGTACTGGATAGGAGGTGCTGCTAATGTAAGAATCTTTTCTCATATTCGTGATCTTCAGCCACTTCCTGTAGGTTTCTTCCTGTTTCCATGATGTAATTCTTTGGTTGGTTGTCCATTAATTGTTGTCAGCATGCTACACACGCGGTAATCTTCTCTCAACTCCATATAAATGGAACCAATCAAGGAGTGCATGCATTTATAGCCCAGATTAGAGATGCTGATGGAAATATATGCCCCAATGTACGCATAGCTGATTGTGGTCACAAGATTGGATTGAATGGAGTTGATAATGGACGGATTTGGTAAAAAAGAAAGAACATATTTCTGTTTTTGCACTTTTCTTTTTTTGAAAGAGAATTCATGTTGAATGACTCTTCAATCTGGTTTTGTTTTAGGTTTGATAATCTGCGAGTCCCCCGAGAGAACTTACTGAACTCAGTCGCTGACGTATTGCCTGATGGTAAATATGTGAGCGCCATAAAAAACCCAGATCAGGTAGTAATTTGTTTGCATTCATCAGTTTCTGGGCTTGGGTTTTGCATCTTTATGGATTGATTGTGCATAGTTTTTCACAATTGGAGGATTTCTTTTCTTCATATTTTTTATTTATGAATTACTTGGCATTCCAGAGATTTGCAGCTTTCATGGCTCCGCTTACATCTGGTCGAGTAATTATTGCAGCCACTGCAATTTATATATCAAAGGTGCAGACTGCTATTGAGTTCTTTCTGCTTGTTCTTTGCTTGTGTTACATGTTTGCTAGCTTATCTTTAATATCTGGAAAGATTTGCTGATTGGCTAAATGCACATTCTACTGGCCTGTGCTTTTTTTTTGGGTTCCAGATAGGTTTAGCTATAGCAGTGAGATATGCACTTACAAGACGAGCTTTCTCTATTACACCCGACGGTCAAGAGGTTCTATTGCTTGATTATCCTAGTCATCAGCGGCGTCTTCTGCCCCTTGTTGCGAAAACGTTATTATCTCTTTACTCTTCATAGATTATCATTTTTACGTGTTTGAAATAAGATTCATTCCAAATGTAATCTAAAAGCTCAATTTTGTATTTGTATTTGACCAGATGTGCAATGAGTTGTGCAGCAAACTTTCTGATAAAGATATATGTGAAGAGAACCCCAGAAACTAACAAAATCATTCATGTCTATTCAAGTGGTCTTAAAGCTACACTGACCTGGCATAACATGAGAACATTACAGGTTTGCATACTGCAGATCTTCAAATTTCATATCATTGTAAAGATTCGACTTGCTCAGTTTTCATTTTCTATCTCATGTTAGCAGAAAATCGCGTTGGGATTTTGAAAGGTGAATTTGATGTGCAATCCACTTTTGAGGGAGACAATAATGTACTAATGCAACAGGTAATTTCTGTACCTTTTGATTGGATTAACTCTTTCTACAAGTTAAAAAAAGCCAGTGAAACTTGATAATATTGGATAAATTAAAATCAGGTAAGCAAAGCGCTTCTTGCTGAATACATAGCAGCTCAGAGAAAGAAGGCACCATTTAAAGGCTTGGGATTGGAACATATGAATGGTCCCTGCCCCGTGATTCCAGATAATCTGACGGGCTATAGCCTTCGGAGTATCAAATTCCAGGTAATTTACTATCCTTCTATCAGTTCTTTTCAAGGATATAATTGTTCATCCTGTACAAGTAACTCTGGTGCATGAATCAGGCTGATGTTTTCTTCTTGCGGGAAAGAGATTTGTTGAAAAGATACGTTGCAGAAGTTTCCCAGTATCAAGCTCAGGGACAAAGCAAGGAGGATGCCATTCTCCTGGTAAGGAATCATACCCCTTACTTCCATTTATTTATTTCTTCAATGCTATATTGGGAACAAACAGTTATTTTCAATGGTTGATCAGAGCTATCAACTTGGTGAGGAGTTAGCTAGAGCCTTCACAGAGAGGACTATATTGCAAACAATCATAGAGGCAGAAATGTCATCTTCTGGCTCCTTGAAGGTATTAGTCTTATATTTGCTTGTTTGAATATGCAACTGTGCATGTGATATGTATTATCTCCTCTAAGAGCCTTTTCATTATTTACAGGATGTGTTGGGATTATTAAGGTCTATGTATGCCTTGATCTCCATTGAAGAGGACTCATCCTTCCTTCAGTATGGTATTTTGTCACTCGTCAACTTTGCTGCCGTGAAGAAAGAAGTGATGAAACTATGCAGCGATTTAAGACCTCATGCCCTGGGCATCGTGAGCTCCTTTGGTGTCCCTGATTCTTTCCTGAGCCCCATAGCTTTCGACTGGGTTGAAGCTAATTCATGGGGGTCACCCAACTCAGGAAATTGTTGATCTCTCTCATTACGTGGAACCCTATAGGAGAAAATTGAGGTGATATGGTTTCAGCAATAATCAGCTTGGTTGGTTGAGTTCCAAGAGCACCTTCTGTAAAAATGTTTAATAACGACACTCAAAAACAAGAGTGCAGGCCTACCATTATCAAATGGACAACAGCTATATAGAACAATTTGTTGAATCTTGTGTACAAAAGGCAATGCATACCGTTTACGGACACCACTATGAATCATATTTATCACATGATAAGTTCAAACGTTGCCTCTGGTGAAGGTCACAATCTATTTGTCTGTGTATCTGGCTTTATGCTTGTGTTGTGGGCATCGTCATATACATGGCCACATGGATCATCTTAAGGTCTTCTGTTTGATGTTTCAAGAAGCCAAAGATGGACATCTTGGCTTCAGCACTAGCACTTCGAAATTATGACATCGTTGAAATCTTTGATTTTTCTTTTAAAAGTATCGTGTTTGTTTCCGTAGTAGATGATTAGGGGTTAGGAATTGGGTGAGCTCAGACCCTCCCCTTCACAGAACAATTTGGTCTCTCCTTCAGCTGTCAATACCATAGAGAGCTTTCTTCAACTTCAACACCTTTGATTCTTCTCTTTTCTTGATATAACCAAAAGGTTGATCTACATAGACATTCTCTTCAAGAACACCGTTCAAAAACACCGACTTAACATCAAGTTGATAGATTGGCCATTTGTTCTGAGTTGCTAAGGTAATAATCAGCTATATAGTTTCAAGATGAGCTATTGGAGAGAATACCTCGTCAATTCCAGCTTTTTGCTTGTAGCCTTTGGCAACTAACCTCGCCTTGTGCCTCTCAACTTCTCCTTTTGCATTCTTCTTCTCTTTGAACACACATTTGACTTCAATTGCTTTCTTCCCTTCTGGAAGTGTAGCAAGCTCCCATGTATCATTCTTCTCGATAGCCTTGATCTCTTCATTCATGGCTGAACTCCACTTGGATCTTGAACCGACTCTTCAAAGTCTAAAGGCTCACAACAAACAAATAAGCAAAATAATGTTAAATCATATTGATTTTCAGTTACCTCATACAACTCCCTCAAACTCCTAAAATTTTGAGGTTGTGGATTCGATGATGATGAAGATGATGCTGAATAAGTCGTCGACTGGAGCGATTGAGGTGTGGTTAGTGATGATGTCGTCGGTGATGATAGAGTGGATGTCGATGGAGTATCTGCTGGAGCATCTTTCCCGAACTCAGTTTATACATTAATGAAAGTAATTGGGCTGCTACAAATTTCTCCCTTGCTCCAGTCCCATGATTTCTCTTCGTCAAATTGAACATCTCGGCTAATAATAAACTTCTTACTGAACGGGTCATACATCTTGTAACACTTGGTTCTTGAATCATAGCCGATGAATACATATGGAATACTCCTCTCATCGAGCTTATTCCTCTTCTACTCTGAAACATGAGTATAGCCAATACTGCCGAACACCTTGAAGTGGATCACATTTGGTTTGTAACCGGTCCAGGCTTCTTGTGGAGTAATATTTTTAAGAATCTGAGTTGGACACCGGTTGATGATATAGACGGCATAAGAAACAACTTCAGCCCAAAAGGTTTTAGGCACTTTCTTACTACTCAATATGCTTCTTACCATGTTCAAAATAGTGTGATTCTTCCTCTCAGCAACACTGTTTTGTTGTGGAGTGTAAGAAGCAATCAGAAAATGCCGAACTCCATGTTCTTCACAATATGCTTCAAACTCCTTTGAAGTGAATTCTCCACCTCGATCTGATCTGATAGCTTTAAGATAAAAGTCACTCTCTTTTTCAACATTAGCTTTGAACATCTTAAACATAGAAACACTTCATATTTGTTCTTCAAGAAGTAAACCCAAGTCTTTCGAGAAAAATCATCGGTGAAGGAAACAGCTCCAGCCCAAATCTCAAGTGCCATAGCCAAGCAAGATCGTTGGTACAAGCTTTCAAACATTTCGCATCTCCACCTTAAAGGTTTAGCATAAACATTCAATTCTTCGACATCTGTACTTTTGCAACCAATCTATCTTTTTGATCTCGAAGAAAAAGACTACGATCTTTTGTATGAAAATCATAGCCATTTTCTAAGAGCTGTCACAAACTCAATATATTTCTTTTCATATTGGGAACATAATAAACATCAGTGATAAATTTTTATCTTCTCTATTTTTTAGGTGAATAAGAATTTTACCTCGGCCTTTCACGAGAATCTTTAAAAAATCTCCAAAAGTGACATTGCCATTCACAGATTCGTTCATATCGATGAACATACTTCCCTTACCACACATATGGTTGCTGGAACCAATATCAAGATACCAAACATCCTTCTTATCATCATCTCATCCGAATGCTAATAGAAGAATATTATCACCATCTCCTTTTTCAACATAATTCACCTTCTCTTCAACCTAATAACAATCAGAAGAATAATGCCCATACTTCTTACATTTAAAACATTGAACTTGTGTTTTCCATCGGTCTCCATTAGATCTATCACGTCCACGGCCTCTAAAAGATCTTTGATTTTATTCTCTTTCTTCAAAGTTGTTGTAACTTTCTCTGCCATAAAAACCACGCCCTCGGCCTCGAAATCTTCCACGGCCACAACTACCGTTACTTCCTTCTTTTGAATCTTCTCGGCCATCCTTCAAGGAAAGCTTGACGAGCCTTCTCCACTAGCTCATTTCTCTTGCTAAATCTTTTCTCATGGGCATTTAACGAACCCAAGAGTTCATCAATTGTCATCTTCTTCAAGTCTTTTGACTCCTCGATGACACAAACAGTATAGTCAAATTTTTGAGGAAGTGATCAGAGAAATTTCTCCACCACACGAACATCTTCAATCTTCACATCATTTCTCCGAAGTTGATTCACTACGGCCAAGACTCTAGTGAAATAGTCAGAAACTAGTTCACTTTCCTCTATCGCTAAATCTTCGAACTCCTTTCGAAGTGTTTGGAGTCTCACCTTCTTCACCTTCTCTACTCCCTTATAGGAGCTTTGAAGTATCTCCCAAGCTTGTTTTGAGGTCGTCGCATATGAGATCTTCTCAAATGCCGATTCATCAACTCTTTGGCAAATAAAGTAGATGGCTCTACTATCTTTCTTACTGGACTCTCTAAGCAAGTCTCTTTGTGTTGCTGATAGCGCACATTCATCTTCAGGCTTTTCAAACCTTTCACCACAACATCCCAATAGTCTATTGATCCTAATAGAGCCTTCATTTGAATGCACTAGTTTTCATAATTTTCCTTGGTGAGTTTAGGAGCAACAAACAGGATCATTCCATTGGAACTCATCTTAGCTCTGATACCAATTTGATAACAATACTTTGCCAGGATAAACAATTTGGAGGAGGATAAAATTATTCTATTAAATTTTATTCTTTCTTCTTTTCTTGACTACTTTCAACTTACAAACCACACATACATATACTACTACAATGACTCATAGATTTCCTAACAAAAAAAACTCTTGAATTTCCCAACAACATTCATGCATCTACGTATTCATGTGTTTGACTCCTCAAACAACTAAATGATCTTCTCAATTCTCAAGGTAATTCAATCAAATTTATTTTCATCAGAACTCTGAGCTCTGCTCAAAACAGAAACAGTCTCTGAATCAATTGGCATGCCCAAATCAACCAGGAACATTTTAGTCTCTGGTGGCATATCCACGGGCACATGTCCTTTGAGCATGCTAACGACTAGCTCCATACTAGGCCTTAGCTCAGCCCTGTCTTGTATGCACCAGATCGCCACATAAACCAAAATCCTAACTTGAGCCTCATCGACTCCGCCATCCCTCATCAATCTCTCATCCACCACACCCATCAACTCCCCCTCCCTCATCTTCTCACTCACAACCTTTGGGAAATAGAACCACGTCCTTTGGGAAATGTTCCCATCATCAAAAAATTCAAAGTTCCTTCGACCTCCAAGAATCTCCAAGATTACCATTCCGAAGCTGTAAACATCAGACTTCTCTGAGATACCTTCTGTCGAGAACCACTCGGGAGCTAAGTACCCCCTAGTCCCTCTGATAGTAGTAACAACCCGGCTCTCATCTTTGTCCATCGTTCTCGAGATGCCAAAATCCGATACGCGTGCCCTGAAGTTCTCATCGAGAAGGATGTTCTGTGGCTTTACGTCTAGATGAAGAATTCTTGAGCGACAGCCGTGATGAAGATAAGACAGAGCGTCGGCAACGTCTATCGCAACTTGGTATCTCGAAGCCCATGATAAACAACTTTCACCTTCTCGCTTCCCCGGGAAAATCCAACGGTCAAGGGATCCGTTCTGTATGAGCTCGTACACGATGAAGCGATAACCTCCTTGGACAACGCAGTATCCAATGATGGTAACAAGATTGACGTGTTGAGCACTGACGATTGCGGTGATCTCTGATAGAAACTCTCTTTCTCCGCGTAGTTCTCCCTCGATTCTCTTCACGGCAACAGGCAACCCATCGCCGAGTACACCCTTGAATACTGAACCAGATCCGCCTCTTCCTATCGGAGTTCGGAAGTTGTTAGTTGCTGCCTCGAGCTCTTCGTAATGGAATTTCTTGGGCAAACCCCCGACCCTTCTAAGATAGCTGAACTCCAGTTCTGGGTTTCCTTCTTCTACATCTGAAAACACTCGCCGGCTGATGCTCGCCCTTTCCCCATCCCAGGCTGTTATTTTTTTCACAAGAACCGATGAGCCAACCCCAAGAACGAGTACTAAATCAGCACCGGCGCTTACAAAAAATACTTCGAGAGTGGCCCTCACACGAACAAATAACACAGTAACGACGATAAGGAGAGCTAATGCCGATAAAGGGGTTGCAAAGGTCATGAAAAGAGTTCTTCTGACACCTAGAATGTCTGGGCCACTGAAAAATTCATACCTCACGAGAAGGCGGAGGAGGATTGCAATGAATATAAGTGTATTTATGAGGCTTCCAGTGAGAAATATGGCGAACGAGTTTGCAAGGAAGAGAAAAAGAAAGAGAAGCACACAGAGGAGAGAAGCAACTGATATAGCTGTGAAAGTTGTAAGCCTTGATTGCTTCATATCTATTAGCTAAGGCCTAAAAGATGGAGCTAGATGACTAGAGAAGAGTAATAAGGATGCATGGCTATTTAAATTCCTAATGGATACAGGAGATGGTAGAAAAATCTTTGAATTTGACGTCTCTCACGATAACTGTTCGAACTCTTTTGACTCTAAGAAAAATGACAACGGATCGGGAAGACTTGCTGCCAAGTCTTGAGATAAAGCTAGAAAATTAAAAAAAAATTCAGAAAAATATACTAGAATAAAATCTATTTCCTCATTCAGCTTGACCTTTTGCGAACGCTTAGCAGCTTCCACGAAAAACAAGAGGAGCTTGACTACTAGATAGTCTTCCCTCGTGATATCGCTGTCTATGCATCTCTTTAAAAAAAATTGAATTCGTCATAGCTTTTGGATTTGCCCCCGAGTCCAGGCTCCTGGTAAAAAGATGGTACAGATAATTGGAAGTATAAGGTTCAAATCATGTGTAAGATAAGTCTAAAGCAATCATCAAACGTATAAAATACAAACAGTCCTTGGCCTAAGGAATTTCTCTTACTAGTTGTCAACTAGCTTAAGTTGGAACCACGGATTGATCACAACTCACAAGCATTCTCTCTATAGCTGATACAAATGTAGGCTGTCTAAAAAATTACTCCAGATAGTTGACCCTCACAACAACTGATGATGAAAGTTTGAAAGTTACAATCTGACGATTTTCATATCAACAGACGAAAGTTATAATCTGACGACTTTCGCAACAATCAATGAAAGTTGCAATCTTACGACTTTCGCGACATCATACGTGAGTTAGAAATTGACGACTCTCACATTTCAAAGAGCAAAATGCAATGATTACAACATGACGATCTTTGCAGAACTCGAAAAAAGAGATTACAACTAATCAGTTCCGGAAATGAAAGGATCTACATGTTGTTTGTTGCATTGCATGACTTATTTCAATTTCAAGGTGATGAAAAGTTGGTTGCTCTGAGGACATGTCCATGTACTCTAAATAGACTTCATACCGATACATATCTCACCCATGTCATTGTTAGCGCTCTTGTATGAGATATCAATCTCCATGTCGTCAAAGCTAATTCCTGACCTGATGTAATCAGATTGAGAACCGATTGGTATATGCAAACATCTGCACTTTTCCTGACTATACTAGTCCCCTGCAGACTTATGGAGGTTCCGGCGTGGGATAGTAGAATAGCTGAATGCTAGAATATCTGACACTCAGTCTTTGTATCCAAATAAAACCAGTATAACATGCAAAATAAAGCCAACTATATGAAGGAAAAACTAACAGGTGCACATACCTTGATTTAAAAGTCTAAATATATACTACCCAAACAAATGCAATGTACCATCAACTTGTTGGGAAATTACCCGGATTCCCCTATTGCCAGATTTGAGAGAAAGCGAAAAATAAATTGCGCAAAATTGGGGGACACGCAAGATTTACGTGGTTCGGCACAAAATTGCCTACGTCCACGGGCTGCTGCAGATCTTTCACTATTTGGGAGAAATTTTACAACACTCTCAATTTTTCTCACAACTCAATCTCACTCTGAAAATTGCTCACAATTTTCTCTCACAAAGACTTTTCTTTAAGCCTCTCTTTTCTCTCTCTTGTTCTTCTATAAGATGAGTTGTTTCTGGGATGAGTTTTCCTTAAGAGTTTGGGGGTCTATTTATAGTGTTTGGGAAAACACTATGCACTAATATTTTATTAGTGGTGGGGCCCACGTACAATTTTTTCTTGCTCTGGGACCCGCTCACCTATCCTCTTCTGATGCTTTGTCAAAAGATGTTGGCTTGGTTTCTTTGGACGGTGGTTGCAGTCAAAAAAAATATTTCGGTGGCATGAGAAGTTTGACAAAAAAAACTTTCTTTTGTGTGCTTTCGGTGGTCTGCACACATTCTTTGACTAACAATCTCCCACTTGAAGACTGATTTTAATCTGTCTTTACATCTCGATCTATGCAACAGATCTTCCCGGTCTTCATACTATTGCAGGCCAACTGAAGCTGAACACAGCTTCAGTTTGTCAATAGTCACCGTCTTTGTCAGCATGTCTGCCGGATTTTGAGCTCCACTGATTTTTTCAAGCTTCAAAATTCCATCTTCCAGAAGTGACCGGATAAAATGATACCGCATCTGTATGTGCTTCATTCTGGAATGGAAAGACGGATTCTTCGCTAGATGAATAGCACTTTGATTGTCGCAGTATAAGACATTGTCTTCTTGTTTCTTGCCTAATTCATTCAAGAAATTTTGAAGCCACACCATTTCCTTGCTGGCTTCTGTAACAGCGACATATTCTGCTTCAGTTGTGGAGAGAGCAACTATCTTCTGCAGTTGAGAAGCCCAACTCACTGCAGTACCTCCTAGAGTAAGAGCAACTATCTTCTGCAGTTGAGAAGCCCAACTCACTGCAGTACCTCCTAGAGTATATACATACCCTATAGTGCTCTTTCTGATATCAACATTTCCTGCTAGATCAGCATCTACATAGCCTGTTAGTATTGTATCTCCACCTTTAAAACAAAGTGCTTTACCTGTGGTGCCCCGTAGATATCTGAGGATCCATTTGACTGCTTCCCAGTGTACCTTGCCCGGATCATTCATGTACCTGCTAACAGCTCCCACTGCTTGAGCAATATCCGGTCTTGTACAGACCATGGCATACATCAGACTTCCAATTGCTGAGGCGTACGGGACCTTCGCCATGTGTGCACGCTCTTTCTCTGTCTTCGGTGACTGATCTTTGGAAAGTCTGAAATGAACACCTAAAGATGTACCCACTGGTTTTGCATCTTGCATGTTGAACCTGGAGAGTACTTTGTTGATGTACTCAGCCTGTGATAACATCAAAGTCCCAGACTTCGTGTCTCTCTTGATCCTCATTCCAAGAATCTGTTTTGCAGCACCAAGATCTTTCATCGCGAACTGTTTTGACAATTTCTGCTTCAAATTTATAATCTCTTACAGATCTGATCCTGCATTGAGCATGTCATCAACGTATAACAATAAAATAATGAAGCTATTGTCAAACCTCTTGATATAGCAACAATGATCTGCTTGGTATCTAGTGAAACCGTTGCTGCCCATGAAGTTGTCAAACTTCTTGTACCACTGCCTGGGAGCTTGTTTCAATCCATACAAGCTCTTCTTCAAACGACATACTAGATTTTCCTTGCCTGCCTTTATGAAGCCTTCTGGTTGCTTCATATAAATCTCCTCCTCCAAATCACCATGAAGGAAAGCTGTTTTTACATCTAACTGCTCAAGATGTAAATTCTCAGCAGCTACAATTTTCAACACTAATCTGATTGTAGTTAGTTACACAACCGGAGAAAAAATTTCATTGTAGTCGATACCTTCCTTTTGCTGAAAGCCTTTGACAACCAACCTTGCCTTGTAGCGTTTATTCCCATCATGTTCTTCTTTGATCCTGTAAATCCATTTGTTATGAAGAGCTTTCTTACCTTGTGGTAATTCAGCTAAGTCCCATGTCTGATTTGACATGAGCGAGTCCATCTCATCTTGCATAGCAGACTCCCACTTGACTGAATCCTTCACCTGTATTGCTTCGTCATAACACTCCGGTTCACCACTGTCAGTCAGCAACAGGTAGTGCAAAGAAGGCGAATAACGCTGGGTTGGCTTAGGAATTCTGGAGGAGCGTCTCACTTCTGGCGTGCTTGGTTCTTCTTGAACTGCTTCAGGGCTAGTCTGAACATCTTTTTCAGAAATCTCCTCAAATTCAGCAAATTCCTTTGTTTCAGCTTTTGTACTGGAGCTACTTGATTCTGCAGTTGATCTATCTTTGTACATCACATTCTCATTGAATATGGCATCTCTGCTTCTGATGATCTTCCGATTTTCATAATCCCAAAATCGGTAACCAAACTCATCACCACCATAACCAACAAAAACACATTTGTTAGATTTGGCATCAAGTTTACTTCTTTCAGCAGAATCTATGTGTACATAAGAGATATAACCAAAAATTCTTAAATGTGAAAGGTTTACCTCTTTTTTGCTCCAAGTTTCTTCCGGTATTCCACCATCCAAGGGAACTGAGGGTCCACGGTTGATTAGGTAGGCTGTGGTATTGATAGCTTCAGCCCATAGGAACTTGGGCAGTCCGGCATGTATCCTCATGCTTCTGGCACGTTCATTCAAAGTTCTGTTCATGCGCTCCGCTACGCCATTCTGCTGCGGTGTCATGGGAACTGTTTTCTCCATCTTGATCCCGCTGTTTGCGCAAAACTCTTTGAATCTACTGTCTTTGTACTCTCCTCCATTGTCTGACCTCAACTTCTTTATCTTCAAACCAGTTTCATTTTCCACCATGGCCTTCCATTTTCTGAAGGTATCAAAGACTTCTGATTTCTTCTTCAGAAAATAAACCCACACCTTCCTTGTAGAATCATCAATGAAGGTGACATAGTACAGTGAGCCTGCAAGAGATGAAACTGGAGATGGTCCCCATACGTCGGTATGAATCAATTCTAACCTTTCTGTCTTGGGTGTCTTGCCAATCTTTGCAAAACTAACTTTCTTCTGTTTGCCAAAGATGCAATCCTCGCATAGGCCGACATCTACATTCTTCAGATCCGGTAGCTTCCCTTTTGACAGAAGTGTCTTCATCCATTTCTCGCTCATATGGCCAAGCCTTTGGTGCCATAGGTTTGATTTTTCATCTGCATCTGTTACTGCAATGATATTCTCTAAGTTAGAGGTTATATAGAGAGTACCACTTTTCTTACCTCGAGCAATGACGAGTGCTCCTTTGGTAATCTTCCATTCATGACCCGAGAAGGTTGTACAATAACCCTCTCCATCAAGCTGTCCCACAGAGATCAAATTTCTTCTAAGGCCAGGAATATGTCTCACTCCTTGCAGCTTCCATGTGGTCTGATTTGGCAATTTTAATCGGATGTCTCTCTTGCCAACAATCTTCAAGGTTTCATCATCTGCTAGATGTACCTTTCCGAAATCACCGCTGACGTAGTTCTCCATGATTTCTCGGCATGGGGTGGAATGGAATGATGCCCCTGAATCAAGAATCCATGATTCAATCGGACTGTTGACGCTTAG